ATAACTGATTATGTGTTGCAATAGGGACAGATCAATTTTGGTATCCCAATTTCTCACAGGAAGCACAGTAGGAAAAACCTTGATCCCTCGTCCGATCATGCAGCGGCATACACAAGGTGAATTCTTTAACTTGCATGATTGTTAATAATTCATAAATTGGTGAAGTAAATGTACTCAAAATAAAACTATGTCATGTTTTCTTCTTTCTATATATTTGTGTTCATTTGATCCAGCATCAAAAGTGCTTCTAAGGTTATTGAATTTCTTATTCTGATTTTAACCAATAAAGCATTTCTCGAGTTAGGGAAACAATCCTCTCGTAGTCTCTGACAACGCTTTCATATGACAAAACAAAGTTATACAATAAATGCAACACGTGTAAAAAAAAATAGAAATTGAAACGTCGCAACATTTGAACCACATGTATGTTTTCATTTAATTGGGTTGTTTTTTCAGAGCTTACCGTCAAAGTATTGCAAAATCCTAATTTTGCCGGAATAAATCTATGTATCTATGCATAAGAAATGATATTATGTAACGTAATTTAGTTGTTGCGATTGTAGAAATAATGTAATATTTTTACAGACTTTCGTCATACCAATATGTACGCATCTTGTTTCTGATATGAAAAGCGAAAATAAATACCTAGACTGGCTACCAGCCCCTAAGTTTTTATGAAGAATTTCTCGGCTGCATTTTACTACTAGCTTATCTCCCCTTAGTTTAGAACTAGAATCTGACATCCAAGTGTTATTTGTTTTGGAGTTAAAATAGTTTTCTTAAATATTCAATATTCTAGAGACGGTGGCCAGTCTAGTAAATACATATTCTTAACTAGTAATAAGTGTAACGGATGGCCGTTACAGATTAGTCCCCCAAACGACCCCTGTTGGACTTAGGAACATAGGCAAAATCAGACAACAGCTAAATTTCGACCAATCAGAGGACTCCATTTTGTTACCATGGCAACTGAGCTGTTCGAAACTGTAACCATTGTGTTTGGCATCCCTTAAAACCCCTATGTACCAATTCTGGGCAGAATCAGACAACAATTAAATTTCGACCAATCAGAGGCCTCCATTTCGTTACGATTGCAACTTAATCTTTCGTAACTGTTACCATCGTGTTTCGCATCCCTCAAAACCCTTATGTACCGATTCTAGGCAGAATCAGACAACATCTAAATTTCGACCAATCAGAGGCCTCCATTTCATTACCATTGCAACTGAACTTTTCGAAACTGTTACCGTTGTGTTCGGAATTCCTGAAAACCCCTATGTACCAATTTTGGGCAGAATCAGAAAACAACTAAATTTCGACCAATCAGAGGCCTCCATAGCGTTACCATGGCAACTGAAATTTTCGAAACTATTACCATTGTGTTCGGAAACCCTGAAAACCCCTATGTACCAATTTTGGGCAGAATCAGAAAACATCTAAATTTCGACCAATCAGAGGCCTCCATTTCGTTATCATGGCAACTGAACTATTCAAATCTGATACCATTGTGTTCGGAATCCCTGAAAACCCCTATGTACCAATTTGGGGCACAATCAGACAACAGCTAAATTTCGACCAGTCAGAGGCATCCATTTTCGACCAATCAGAGGCTTCCATTTCGTTAACATGACAACTGAGCTGTTCGAAACTGTTTCCATTGTTTTCGGCAGCCCTTAAAACCCTTATGTACCAATTTTCTACGAAATCAGAGCCAAAAACTCCAAAACCGGAAGTAAGGTTCTGGCGGCCATCTTTGACTTCCGGTCGAGATAAAAATAGCCTGTTGCACACCTAGACACCCTAATGAGTATGTGTGTGAAGTTTCATCATGATCCGCTCAAAAGTTTCTGAGAAAACCTCTGGACAAGTTCATGGCTGAAGAAGAAGAACAAGAAAAAGAACACAGAGGAATAAAAACAATAAGTCCCCAAACCATGTTTGGGGGACCTAGACACCCTAATGAGTATGTGTGTGAAGTTTCATCATGATCCGCTCAAAAGTTTCTGAGAAAACCTCTGGACAAGTTCATGGCTGAAGAAGAAGAAGAACAAGAAAAAGAACACAGAGGAATAAAAACAATAAGTCCCCAAACCATGTTTGGGGGACCTAGACACCCTAATGAGTATGTGTGTGAAGTTTCATCATGATCCGCTCAAAAGTTTCTGAGAAAACCTCTGGACAAGTTCATGGCTGAAGAAGAAGAAGAAGAAGAAAAAGAACACAGAGGAATAAAAACAATAAGTCCCCAAACCATGTTTGGGGGACTTAACTAGTTTGATAATGTGACGTCATGGGATGTTTTGTTCTTATTTTCTCTTGTCAGTTGTTTTGGCTGCATCCGTACAAGCTAACCACGAAAGTTTTAAACACAGCGAAAGCAAAAACAGACGAACGGTTTATGTTATACCAGGCATTCGAGTTTCCATTACGAAATACTACGAAATAACCGACTTCGTATGAATAGTTCTGCCATATCCAGCTACTGTATTCGAAAGAGGCGATTAATAGTGTTCCCTGCATAATCGGATGTTTTCCTCCATGTTCTCTACTTAGAGGACATTTAACAAAGGAAAGGATGAGTGTTTATAAGGCCCTTTTTTGGGCCCCTGTATATTCAAAGATGTCCTATTGTATTACATGCAGACTAAGGTAAAACTAAGGTAAAAGTTTGACCGAAAGTGGGTTTCTGGGGGTACCAAAGATATGCCAAGTTGCATGCTTATCCCAAAATTCATTTTATGTACAATCCGCCCTTACTGTTGGAAATAGAGCAATTGATAAAACAATGAAATGGGTTAACTGTAATGATTAAAACAGACACTTTCTTAGAGGCTAGGAGACTTAAAATTACAAGCAAATCAAACTTCACATATTAAATTCATCATTTTACAGACGTTTTGGCGGCAAGTGTCATTTTCTATTTGTAAGTTAGCTTTTATAATTAAAAAGAAACAACAGGACCTGGAACTCTCTTCAGCCACAGGCGTTGAGCAAATATTATATGATATATATAATATACAATATCAACCATTAATATCTTATACTTATAGCATATAAAGGGTGTGCTGCACCTTTTTATTCACTTAAGATTGAGAGATATTTGAAATAGGCAAGTTTGAGATGTGTCCAGAGGCCATAACTCAGTATAAAACAAAAGGAAAGTGTGTGGTGAATATGCATTTTATGTAAGTGTACTCAAATGAGTAAAGTTGTAAATTTCAACTCAAAAGATAAATTAGAAAGAAAGTTATTGAGAAAAAAAACACCTTTCATTTGAAAATTACCGAAAACAACCCCTGCCTAAATCCTCCATTTTAAATAGACAGTAACGATTGAAATTCTGTCATTTTTCATTCGTCAATGCCTGTTTAATTCACATATGTTTCCAAAAACAGAGATGGTACTTCTTTTGGTTGCTCCTCCTCTGACTATTCTTAACACTCTACTACGCCTGTTTAATCTACATACCTTCATATAGACTGGTATTGTAAGGAAATATTAGGCGTTAGGCAAGGAGATGTACAACGTTTGAGTTAGTCGTAAGCCCTTTATCATCGTCTGGTTAAGGAACGTTAAATCGTTGAGAGGTGTAACCTAAAAGTTAGCAGTATGGTTATCGATGTATCCAATATTTATTTTGGTATCTGTTTTGATAACGGAACGTATTTCCTAACAGAAAAAATGTATACATCGTTTGCGTTTGGGAGTGTATTAAGCGCATTAGCGGTTAAAAAAATTATAATTAAAACCCGACTACGAATTAGCTTCCGTTTTATATGTACAACCTTAAACTGTATAACGTTCGTGGTTTTCGTGGAGGTCACGGAACCACTACAATGAATACAACGAATTTAATTGATATACTGGACTACTCTTTGTTTATATGGGGAATCCACGAAAGTTTGTACCTTGAAAAGATCTAAATGACTTCAAGTCACGAAAGCAATTACCCATGAACAGTTCATGTTATACAGTACTTAATACGCAAAAGTGTATCGTATTCTTTACGTATTGTTACGCAGTCTGTGTATATGTATCAAATACATATACAACATCAAACACCTCTTCCTATGTAGTCTCCTCCACTACCATAAATAATCATTACTTATGTCAATACATTTCTGCACGTTCTCTATATATACTTACAGTAAACACACTCGGTCACAAATTACGTCTACAATGTCAATATATAAATAGGTTGACCCGTCTCCCCATGAATTCGTCATAACATGTCGGAGATAACAGTCCGCCAGCCATTATACGTACACTTCCGAACTCCTACCCTTAAATGTCGGTGATAACTGTTTGGCAGCCATTTTAATTACCCACCCAAACTCCTACCCTGCAATGTCGGATATAACAGTCCGCCAGCCATTATACTACACCGAACTCTCTTATAACCTATAATTCGTTCGCATGTAAGAGACAGGCTATATCTGTAAAAGAGAATCGGTACTTTCGATTACTGCATTTCCGATTCTTTGCCATTTTTGCAGATTACGCACCCCAACCTTATCCAATCCCATCTGTTTGCGTCAGATGCGTTGCGTAAGTATGGAAACAAAATGTTGGAAAAACGATCAATTTGGAATATTCGTCATATTTATTGTATACAATTAAAATTAAAATATTTGATTCGACATTATCACAAACAAACAACACAAAGATAATTACTATAGTTAAAATTGTTTCTTTTGACTAGGCTAATCATTTGGTTGAGTGTGTCTAATCAAAGCTAATCTGATAGTGTTATATCGCCAGCTTTGAGTACAAGTACACTTCAGTATAATACAGTACTACACCTACACATGTATATACCCGGATGTAAGATAGGGTGCAGAGATACACTTAAATATGTACAATATATTGTTTACTTATATTTTACGATCTCACAAATATGATAAAAAAGGTCCAACGGGTGACTGTAACCATTCATGACCACACATAGCCATATATGGGTGTTTCAAGGGAATTTTTATATATAATGTCCTCAGAAGATTTCCACAGGTAAATCCATAAAAGGAGTGAGCTTACACACGGGTGGATTGTAGTTTACATAGTTGTATATCTGTGTCTCGTAAAATGTGTGTCGCACCGTTAGACTGTCTGATATATATACAACAGTATATACATACAATGTTCGTGTGACCAGGTAGTTCAATAATTTCGAGACCTTGGATGTGTGCACTATCTAATTCAGAACAAGACTTTCATTGTATTGGAACAGTACCCTGGAACTGTGCCTTGTAAACGTCGGTTAAATATATAGCGGAAGGTATACGACAATTAAAAGCGGATTTATAAGTTGACAATATGTCGGCTGCCACTCTTCATAATGTATCAAATTATGATAAAAAGGGGCGAAATTCATTGTCAATATTCCGGTCATGGTCAACGCTTGTTGTGGATGTCATCTCGTTTTCCCTAGGTAAGGATTTCATCTTAATTTTAAAGAATAGTCATATTACAGCGCAATATTGCCATACTGTCAAGTCGAGTAAGCCTATTTTTGACTGCCTTATTTTTTTGTACAGTTTTATAAGATTTACGAGACGATCAAAGGGTCAGGAATTCTTGAATTAATCACTTTTTTATCTTCATCCATTATAGTAGTCGTAAAATCATAGATTAGAATAAGTCTCAGATTTTGGTTACAAAAACATCTTAATAATATATTTTCTTAACGTAAGTTCCTTACATAAAAACCCTATAAAGGAACATTATCAATTAGCGTATAAAATGTCGAAACATTCTATTTTGTTTTTCATTTTCACTCATTGACGACAAGTGTTGGCTATGAAATAACAATAAATGATATCGTACAATATAAGCATTCATGTTTCTCACAATCCTATGTATCTACCCTTACCTTATTGTATAAAACAGAGGAATTATAATGAGTACTGATTTATTTCATTATGAACCAAATATCAGTGAGGTATTGTTATGCAATGTATAAACTACGGCTTTCAAGCTGTATAAAAAAGTAAACTGACGAGAATGGATAATAACTGGTCATCACGAGCTCCAGTTTTGATAACAGCCATAGCTAGAACACAATGAAAAATATATCTCACTGTGAGATTCTTTAAAACAGGAACTATATACTTGGAGTGTTAAACTCCAGCGGCAGTAAAAAGGTAAAAACATGCATGTCTTTGTAATGACTACAAATCACCATTTGTATTTATCATATCACATGTAAATAATATTGTATTGAATCATACACAGTCAGACTTGACTTGTCCTTTCCTGATAAGGTTACGAACGTACCATTTACAAGATCTTTAGATAGGCTGTGCAAATACAAATCCTATCTACGTGTTTTAAAGTCTTATCATTACGTGTCTTTATCATACAAGGTCATGCTCATGTCTTGATCTAGTTTTATAAACAGTAAAGAATGTTAACAGTTGCGTTTCGTGTAAACAGACTATGTTTTATCACATGTTTTAACGAACGGGTAGCCTATCAATCTAATTAAAATTATATCTTCACATCGCTCCCGTTTACTGATATGTCGCGTTGAAGATCTAACAACATCCCGTTTTTCTATTTGTGTCATTCAAATAGATCATAAATACCATACAAAAACAGTTCAATGCTTTAGTATACGTCAAACGGACTTCCTACATGTAGCGCTTTCTCGCATTTATAGATTATCCAGGCAACTGATTTTTGCTACTAAATCATAGTTAAAAGTACACATACTAAGGACCTAATCTACAGGCTTAGATGCGTTCACAATAATACTACTGTGATAAAAAATGTCTCATTATATCAAAATGGATAGATGTATCATAACTTTTAATCATAATAGCCATGTTCAATATTTGAAAATACTTTTTCCACATTGTGAAGCTAAATAGAATATACATATATCTATTGCATATATTTAAGTATGATTGTACCGATCACAAGGATTTAATTATATTGAATTTTATATATATATAACTAACATTAACTGCGTCTGCCAGTGTCGTTAATATTGATTGATTTCGTAAATTGTATCTTCAGATTGTGGTTATTCCATTACGATTAATTTAAATATATATGAAAATTATATTTAAAGTTTTACTTTTGGACAAAGGTAGATGACGTGGTTCATACTTCTACTATTTATGGTTAGACTTTACCTAAGATCTATTTATAGATAAGGAAAATCCGTAAATCCAAGTTTTATAACGCGCGCTTCAAAATCGTCTTATTGAGTATTATGTGATACACATTGGAAAATGAATACTATATATTTATTTAAACATTATGACGCATTACGTTTTGGAATATTTCATCAAAACAACATCTGCGTAATATATCTATATATATATTGTTTAGTTAGATATGGCTAATTGTTTGTTGAAGCCTAACGGCCCCTCGATACATGAAGGCCATTTTTGGACTAAAGCGTCAAAAAGAAACCGAAACTAAAGGAAGTTAAACACATCAAAAGCAACTTAATAGTTAAAAGTTGTTAAATATTAAAATCAAAATTTTAAAAGTAGAGTAAACGTTATATTCTGTAATAAAGGCCTATTTCCTAGCGTTTTTAATAAGGGTTGTCACGAAGATATGTTCAAATTTCTTTTATGTCTTGTAAATCAAATAAACAACAAGAATCTATTTCGGATAACTTCACGCGACCATGAAATGTTAAAAGGTGAATGTAGAATCATAAGCGAAACAATAAGGTTAGTCTGCACGTGCTCTTTAGCAAGTGTGCATGTGTAATGCATTTATGTCGTGTTATGATTCAGGTCAAACTAACCCCTCTTTCCTAGTAGTTCTACAATAATTTACTTACTAAAAGCTGGTTGTTCTTAAATTTATTAATAGTTCCCGCTGTCCAATGTTGTTGCCATTATTGTTTAAGGCAGTAAATATATGCGATTTGAATCTAAATATGGTAATTTTATAAAACAATAGGTACTTGGGTAAGTGCAATTCTGCTGCCTTAACAGCTTTTTCATTTCCAAGCCGGCATCATTACAGTATGTTACTTAGGCAATTTGCAACATATTCAAGATTGATTTAATGTGATATATGTTCATGGGTTCGATCGACATGCCGCTCTTAATACGTACCGGATATTTTAAAATAATGATCTTTAGTCAGTTAATTAGTTACTACACGGCCAAGCACCAAGTATTAGTATCTGATAATAATATGGTGCTCTAACAAAACGTAATGTACCAACAAAAGCTGAAGTTAAAATTAGCAAACATACGTACACAGAGATGTAGCAGGTTATTATAATAACAAATATTTCAAAATTTCTAATTTTTAGGTATTGCCAGTTCCGCGTTTATGTGTAAAAATATTTTTGAAAATTAATTGTACGGATATATTTCTATATATGGTACTACTTCATAGTCCGAATCTGAATAAAATCGGCTCATTCGATCGATATGTAAGACACAGTCCTATGATCGTCACATTGTTGACGAAAGAGCTCAACTCTTGCCGAAGTCGGTACGCATGGCAACAATACAGTACGTATGTCTTGTTAGAAGTCGTCATGAAAATATGTAAATATTTACACATACCAACAGAAATCGGATATGGCGATTGACCAATTATCCATGCGATGATTTGGGGGTTCGAATCACATAAATAGAAAAATTGCAGCTAAACAGCAAATATTGTAATTATACCAGTATGTGAGGGCAATGCTCACTTACCGATTGATTGTGGCATATAACTCGGACGCCTTATCAACCCTCTGACAGAGTGTTAATATAATACTTCTGGAAATCTTGTTTATATCTTATATCACACTTCAAAAAATGATAGGATGACTTAGGACTGGAAAACAAATTGAACAGGAATTAACAACGCAAAAATACAGTATTGCTGGTTGTATGTGAAACAATGACTAGGTTACAATACTTTCAGTATATACCATCGTTAAAGAACTTTTATACATTTGTACACTTATAATCTTCCTCTCTACGTAATATTACAAAATAAATTTACTAATTTTCTCTGTAATAATTGCATCAATCCGACAGAACGTGAACCTACCTTTTTCGCATTAAACATACTGTATAGCACGACATCATCGTGGGTACTTTCCTTCGTGGTTGGAAGCCTTTTAGATCGTTTCGTGGTACAAACTTTCGTGGATATCATATAATAATTATTCATAAACAGCAGGCACGTATATCATTCAAATTCGTTGTATTTATTTTCGTGGTTCAATAGCAACCACGAAAACCACGAATGCTTATACACTACGGACATTTCATGTTATACAGAAACAGGAAGTTTTATATTGAGGAGTGAATTGTAATGATGAGTTAGTTTAAGCCTGTCTACGTACATACTAGTATGCTTTTCCAGTTCATGAGAAATGGGTCTATTATGTTTGTGTTTTAGGCAGAGGAGGGATGTTTAGACGAGTTTCATAATAATACTACGAAATAGAAACTGTTGGAACATCCTGTTTATTCAAGAATGTATGCGACTATGTAGCATTTCCTCGTAATTTTATGTATAGTATGTTCAATAGGAACGTCAGGCATGTGTTCATATTTCCTACATAATGTTCAGTATTTTGAGTAACAGGAATAACTGGTTTACCTGTTGTCAGTATAATGTGACCGGTCGGTATGCTATAGTGGTTGCCTAACGGTCTTGGCATTTAAGAGAGGTAGCACTTTAAAATCGGCATCAGATCTGCGCTATCGCGAGGAGAGGAAACAGATCCACCAGGATACCCTGCCGCTAGTACATATTATACAGTGCACGCATGTAGGCATCCATAATACACATAGACACAGGTCCTGGAATTTAGGTTAATTAGCTATGTTGTACACTTTTATTTCATTAGGTGGGATATTCCATTCATCCAACAACTGACGTTATGTAAGGGAGATGTCCACTTGTAGTTAGGCCGCGTATTGAAAAGTTTAAAAAGTAAAATCAATTAAAGGTCATCGCCTGGACGACCATGTAGCAGGTTTACTAATTCCCGAATAAGCACTGGTATGGCAAATACATAAATTTTGCATTCAGTAACTATAGACGCTTATAAAATAATGAATATTTTTGCTCTAGGTATGCACGTTTCTGTCAATTACATCTAATCAATAGTGCTGCTGGTTGAAATGTTAACGACATTGTGTTTTTTGTTTATTTGTTTACAGTGTTTATCGTCAGTCTGTTGTTTGTGTTTAACACCTTCAACTTGAAGCCGTTTGAGCGGGGATTTTTCTGTGATGACCAGAGCATTATGTACCCTTATAAAGACGACACTGTCAGCAACACGCAAGCGGCTGCTATTGCGGTTCTCGTATTTCCCATAGTAGTAAGTACAAAATTCCTATTGTAATTGGTTTGTTAGTTTTAGGTTTAACGTCTTCACAACCTCTTGGGTCATATGAAAACGGGTGTATAGGAACACACCAGCGAAAAGTAAGAGTAGGTAAGAGTGAAATAATAAACAAATTCCTAGTGTTGCAATGGGGTGGTAGATCCATGTCTCTGTAATGGCCTCTTCGTAGACCACATTTTTTTTTTTTATTTCCCATAGCGGTATGTTCACATATTCCCCTATCGATATGCAAAACATTTCAAAGAGCCGTTTTTCATATATTTTCCATAGCGGTGTGTATAAAAAAAAAAATCTATGGCGATATGTAAAACCATTTCTGATAGTACGGTGTTGCCCAATAAGTTTATCAACCGTCAATTATAAAATCAGCTTCCGTAAAAAAAACACCATAAAAACCAGACCCATTGCGCAATTGGAACTACAATTGTATCTTCATAGGTATGTATTAATAAAAAGATCATTTAAAACCGAGTTTAAATTATATCATTTGAGGTTAATTTATGAATGGAATATTTTTGTAAGGAGCCTTTGATCCTTATCGATATAATCTTTATGTCTGACATATATCAGTTAATGATTGTTTTATATAAAAACTGTAATACCAAAAAAAAAGTATTTTAAATATGCAAATAATTATATTACTCATACTATTTAATCGATTTGTTTTTTTAATAATTTTGAACTATAAACATTTGTACATTTATAGTTATTATTTTGGCAAATGAATATGAAATTTTACAAAAAATATTCATGAAATAAAATATTTTCCGAAATATTATTGATAAAATATAAAGCCGAGACCTGGTTAGTTTCATTTACCCATTTGAAAGAACCTGAGACCTGTGTGAAGTAGGTTTAATCAACAAAGACTCCTCGATGGGAGGGACCAAGCGAAGAACCATCTTCTTTTTTCTCTTTTAAACTGGTGATTTTCCTATGTGCCATATTTGTTTCAACAGGCATTCTTCGTTGAACCACTATACGTCTTCACATGCATGCGCAATAATAATCACTCGAATTGGACAATTACTAAAATTGCGCTGAAGTCCTTTTACTCCTTGGTCCTTCTGTATCTTCTCGGCGGAGCTTTGATGCAGTCAATTGTTGCAATGGTTAAACTCAGCGCCGGACGTCTGCGTCCTAACTTCTTCGCCTGGTGTATTCCAGACTACAACGTGACCAACTGTGACGTCAGAGGAGGGGGACACATCAATGACTTTGTCTGTACAAATACTGACACAGACGCCGTTGACGATGCCAAGTATGTACAATATAAAATGATAAACTAATGACAATGTCAAGTCAGTTTCTCAAATGGTTGAATTATAGCTGTTGCCGAGCTCATAACAAAACATCGCAAATTATTGCGTGCCAAAATGTTAACACGATTGGAATATCACGTTCAGTAACAGAACATTTTGATGATATCAGTATTTATTACAGAGATACGTTGTTTCTATTCAAAACAAAATAAGACAACACCAATTTACTGGGGTTCTTACCGAAGAAACAGTGATGTTTTATAATATTGTAATATGTTAGACGATTGAAAACACAAAACTGAATTTATGATATTATCAATAACCCATATATGTAAACGAATAGTATTTTAAAGAGAAATAATGACATTTGGTAACATTTAATTCTTCACTTTAAATAAAGTAAGTACACCTGGTCAGACATCCAGAGTACCTCTCTTTTCAAAATCTTCTTTTTTTATATATAAAACATGTTGATGAATTGAATTAAAAGCCCGCTAACTCAGTAATAATCGTTGATAAATGGTTTCTATCTTGCAGGCAGTCATTTCCATCCGGGCATGCATCCAGTGCTGTGTATGCTTTCACGTACATAGCGGTAAGTTAAACATATAACACGGGGTAGAGTAGCTTCGTGATTCACCCAGGATTGTTTACCTGAGCCTATCATATGCAGGTATGTGGGATAGGGAGGTTTTACCTAAGGACTTTGAGACAGAAACGAGACTTTGCCGAATCAAAATTGTATTCTACATCTGAGTGTAGAATTTCCCTACCTCACATACCCTAATGATATTTTCCCGATCCTTGACCGAAATTTGATAACAACCGACCATGACATTGCAAATGCAGCGTTAATAAAGGAGAGTATTTAAATCCTACAAGTTAACTAAAACAGAACATCTTTTGAAAGAGCAGGAAAAGTTATGGTATACAGAAGGTGTAGTTGAAAATTAAAAGGGTTTCGTAAAGCTTTGCATCATGTTTGATGTTCCTAAGTTAATGGGAGATGCCGACGATGTTTTGGCGGCAGATATTCTTCTACTGATGGCAATTTCATTACTTCACGTCTTATATCGATACGTCATGACGTTTCAGAACATCAGCCGATAAGGTGTCGAACATTTTGAGTGATAACATATTTTTATGCATTCACTAGTCAAGGTTAACAGCAAATTTCCTTAAGCCAATTGGAGCACCTATGTGAGATTGAAAATATACCATATCTACGTGTTTCGTAACTGCTGAACCACAATTTTTTTTATCAGAAACAATTAGATTTCAACTTTTTATCAAGGTTACCTGTTTACCTACTGCGATTTGTAACCATCCACAAGGTTTTCTTTCCATTGGCCACGCTTGACTGAGGATGTAATTTAATTTAGTCAAACAACAAACACACCTGACTTTGCACAATAAAATACCGGTAGTTCATTGCAGCGACCCCTTAAAAACAATTGATTTATATTTCATAAAAGATACCGGTAAAGATTATTAACATTCACGTCTGCTGAAAGGCCGCAAGGCCGTGATAGCAGACGTAAAACCGTCAAAATCAATTTATTAACTGATAAATAAAATATTTCATTATCTTTCATTTAATATCTCTTTGTTGAATTTGTGCCAAACTAGTTTAATTTAATGACTGCGCGTCTTAATCTTAAACGTTATTTTGAAAGAACCTATTAGATTACTTAATTATCGTATTCACAAAAAAATGTCTCCAGACTTTTTAAAAGACAAAGGCTTTGTTTAACTGAGTTCGTATGAGTTAAACAAGATACCACACCTTTCAGAACCTCCATATAAATGAAATATAGAGCTATATTTGATATGCTGATTCTATATGCACGTATCATATAAATGTGAAGGCACGGTAGTCAAGTGGTAGGACGCCGGGCTCGTGACCGGGTTGCGGGTTCGAGTCACGGCACGGCACGGCACTGTGTTGTATATTTGAGCAAGATACTTTACTCCGCTTGTTCCAGTCTATTTAGCTGTAAATGAGTACGTGGTTTGACAGTGCTAGAATTGTAGATGCTAGCTGTAAGCGCCGAAATGGCAGCACCGGCTGTATGATCCCCATGGAGTTGAAAAAGATATTGGCTGGTTGCAAGAGCCCTATAACCACCGAAAATAATTTGTGAACCGCTTTGAGACTAACTAGATTTTGATAAAGTGGTATATAAGAACCGCGAATTATATTAAATATTATCAAAAAGTTATTGTCTTCTCAAAACAAAAACGTTAGCGAAAACTCTACATGAAAACGTACATATAATTGTCAAATGCTAGTCAAGAAATGAATAGTATGTTAGACTTTATGGTTGTAATATGAAATGAGATTCTCAATCTGCCTCCGATGTAATCAATGTCGCTGTTTGTACCGATAGATATACCTGGATATCCGTCTCCGACAACAACTCAAGTGGCGACTGTACTTCCGGATGATTGCGCCAACACTTCAGTCCCTTTTGGTGATCGCTGCTCTCTACGTCTGTTTGTCACGTATCCAGGACAACAAACACCATCCCACGGATGTCCTAGGTGGCGCTGTTGTCGGTCTTGTCCTCTGCCTAATAACGGTATTTTTTCATCATCAATCTAAGTTTTTAAAAAGATACCCTTTTCGAATTACTAAAATCCTTAATGTTGGAAACAAAGTACTATTTTATTTTCCATTACTTGGCTATAAAACATTTCATGCACCCCAAGCCTGGCATCCCACCCAAATGATGCTGGGGGAATAAAATCCAATTTGAACACCAAAACACCACGTACGTGTTTTGGAAGCCATGCAGATACCATTTATTGCTATACATGTATGTGATGATAAAACATAAGTAAGACACTTCAGTCCCTTTTGGTGATCGTTGCTCTCTACGTCTGTTTGTCACGTATCCAGGACAACAAACACCATCCAACGGACGTCCTAGGTGGCGCTGTTGGGCTGTCTTGTCATCTGCCTAATATCGGTATTTTAATAATCTAAGTTTTAATGACTGCTTTGTTCTTTCGAATTATAAAATACTAAATGTTGGAAACAAAGTACTATTGTATTTGTTTCATTGTTCGGCTATTAAACATTTCAGTGTTACGATTGATAATTTTGTAATTATTTCAGTTGTTATTAAAATTGAATATAGCTACGTTTGTGTATTGGAAACCACGCAGACCTCAGTAATTGTTATACATGTATGTGACGAGAAAACATAAGACACCGAATTTGTTATTCTATAATGCCCTGCAGGTTAGAAAAAAGAGCACGGATATAGGTCATTTATTATCTATAGAATACTAAGCTACCTAAGTTAACGGGTTATGTGATTCATTTATTTTAGATTTTCGTCTGGTCGAGGGAAGCAATGTTGGATATTACAGGCGAAATATCTGAAGAAGTACCAGCAATACACGCGGAGTCTTTCAGGACAAGCCCAAATAACGTGAACGGGTCACAGAATCCTATTATGCAATCGCGCTATTCAATCGACAATGCCGGTCAAGACAACGTTACTTTCGATGTTCCATCTTCCCCGCTGTAGCTTTAATACATATAGGAGCGATACCATGGACATCTGGATTATTCTGTGATACTATATGTGATACTTTCCAGGATCACCTTTGTCAGTGCATGCTGTTGAGATAACCGAGTCAGTCAACAGTGCTAATACCTCTAGTTAACATATATTTGTATAGCAGTTTTTATAGCAATTTGTTCACATCATGTAGACCATCCCTCGAGCAGGCTGTTTTATATTTCGTGCATATATATAACGGCTGCTTTCTTGTTGATTTTAACCGTTTCACCACTATAGACCATAATGGACTAATCCAGATAAATGTATGGATGAGTCTACTAAAGTCTTCTAGGTGTGAAAGGGTTAAAAAAAGTTTTAAAAAATGTGTATGCATTGTTTTTGTTAGGTCCTATATACTTTGTTTATATATTTCTATTTACTCACGCATCGAACATGACAGTTAGTTATAAAATTAACCTAATTTTATACCATAAACCAGATTTGTAGTTCATGTATTTCACCATTTGTAATAGATTATATCACCCGCGCAGGTCGCGGGATTCTGAAAAGAGGGCATCTACTGTTAACCTCGTACCCGTACGCCTTCCCCGGCAATATTACGCTGTATGATTTAGAAAAATTATTGGTACTGTCCCTTGAAAAGCTGAAGTTCTATACTTTCGTTCATAGTGGTGAGTTTATGCTGAAGTATTGCGATGTACACCTACGATCGAAGTGACATGACATTTGCGAACAAACCTATAAAGCGACTTTGTATACCTATCTTTTTAAATTATTTATTCATCAAAACGTGTTATTGTATTTGAAAATATTTGAAAGTGTTATTGTAAAAAAGTAAACAATTTAACTACATATGCAAGGAAGATGTACAATATATTTGGTAGCTGTATGAATTACCCCTAATTTAAGTAGGACTGCTCCGAACCCGGTAAATACAATATTTATTCTGCTGTAGGACAAACAGTCATTATAATAACACTATATCACGTGATGTTTTCCTGTCCTTAGTAGACTAGGGATATTTATATATAACTGGTTGGCTACCATTTTAATTTATCTCACCATTAATATTTTTAACTTCTTTTATTATCTCTCTGTCAACCCTTGGGTGTAGACATTTCGTGCAATTATAATTATGACGTCACAATAAAAACGATTTCCACCTCGATTTGGTATCTCAAGTCTCATATCTTTACAATTCTTCTATATGTTTTCTTTTATATTTTGTTATTTTTATATCACTAAACGATTGGCAAATGTTGCAATATTAAAAGATTTAATTGTCGGTTATCATATTTTCTAATTCGAGTTAGTTTATCTAAGAAATAATCAGGATTATTTAAGGGATTATACGGTATATACTGAAATAAATCTGTGTGCACTTTGCGTAAATCCCAAAGGTTTTAATAAATACGAATTATGTTATGATGCTGTTAACATGTATACGTGACGATTTTTAATATTTATTGGTACTTGTGTATATGTATATAAGTGTAATTATCTAAACTTTTATATATATATATTGACGTACTGTAAATGTGGAAATATTCGCGTATGGAAATGTTCGCGTCGACAGTCTTTAATCTGATACTGATTTCGCGTTGGTTATTGTTCTGGAATATATATATTCTTTAACTCTATAATCTATTTAATTTATGAATAAAAAATTTGATATTTACCGTGTTTTAATACTACATTTTATAACATACCAGTTTCATGTTATTTTTAATGTCGATGCATAACGCAGTTGGTGAATGTGTGTGGCAGAAATGTTGAAGAGCAGTATTTGTTTAGGCGTATATGGGATAATAGATACTAACTGTAGTCTATGTGAGAATTCCTTTCACAATTTCTTTGAGTGTCAACTTTTTAGCAATGAAAGGCGTATTTTGTTTCAAGATTTGAATGCCTTAGGTATAGATTTAAGCTTAGAGCTTCTTTTGTTTGGCAGTTCAAAGCTGTCGGTGGACCTTAACTCTTACGTTTTTAGACATGTGCATCACTTCATCAAAAGATTTTGAACAGTGATTTTTTTAAGTTGCGTATGTGTACCTGTGTGACTATTATATATATCTACTTCATGTTTATGCCTATTATCATTGTTGACACGTAATTATAAATGTACGACGGGAGAAGGCTGTGATAAGTTGTAATAACTTGTGACCAATCCCTTGTTCAATTTTATTGGCAATCAATATGTAAGTGTAGTCTTGAGCGTGGTCGTAGGAAAAGTCTTTAGACACATATAATATAGTTAAGAAGGTATGTTTAAACAATCATCTAAACATCTTTTTACAAATATGTAAATATTAAAATGCCCACTTTATTATTTTTTGGGCCCCTGTATGTTCGGATTTTCACCTCCTTAATTTGTTCAAAGATGTCCTATTGTATCACATGCAGACTAAGGTAAACAGCAAATTATGTTTGTGATTTACCCTACCCCTTTTGGTACCTCCAAAAACCCACTTTCGGTCAAACTTTTACCTTAGTTTTTCCGCATGTAATACAATAGTACATATTTGAAAAAATTAAGGAGGTGAAATCAGAATATACCGGGCCCAAATAAGGGCCTTATAGACACTCATTCTTTCCTTTCAGTGCTGTTTCCCTATGCGCCGTATTCATAATTATGGCCATGGCCGTTTAAAAGACGTTAAGCCCAAAAAAGGGAACAAACAAATCTAGTGTTCTTTAAGGAAAGCATGTCAAAATCGGAGCCAAATAATCGTTTGCTATTTTGAAGAATTACTGAACTGTACACAAATTGCTATCGGGAGCTATCTACAAACACATACAACGTTTGAGTTAGTCTTAAGCCCTTTATCATCGTGTAGTTAAGGAACGTTAAATCGTTGAGAGGTGTAACCTAAAAGCTAGCAGTATGGTTATTGATGTATCCAATGTTTATTTTGGTGATCTGTTTTGATAGCGGAACGTATTTCCAAGCAGAAAAATTGTATACATCGTTTGCGTTTGGGAGTGTATTAAGCGTATTAGCGGTTAAAAAAATAATAATTAAAAAACGACTACGAATTAGCTTCCGTTTGATATGTACAACCTCATACTGTATAACATTCGTGGTTTCGTGGAGGTAACGGAACCACTAAAATGAATACAACGAATTTAATTGATATACTGGACTACTCTTTGTTTATATGGGGAATCCACGAAAGTTTGTACCTTGAAAAGATCTAAATGACTTCAAGTCACGAAAGCAATTACCCATGAACATTTCATGGTATACAGTACTTAATGCGCAAAAGTGTATCGTATTCTTTACGTATTGTTACGCAGTCTGTGTATATGTATCAAATACATATACAACATTAAACACCTCTTCTTATGTAGTCTCCTTCACTACCATAAATAATCATTACTTATGTCAATACATTTTTGCACGTTCTCTATATATACTTACAGTAAACACACTCGGTCACAAATTACGTCTACAATGTCAATATATAAATAGGTTGACCCGTCTCACCATGAATGCGTCATAACATGTCGGAGATAACTTCCGAACTCCTACCCTAAAATGTCGGTGATAGATAACTGTTTGCCAGTCATTTTACTTACACACCCAAACTCCTACCCTGAAATGTCGGATATAACTTTACGCCAGCCATTATACTAACACACCGAGCTCTTTTATAACCTATAATTCGTTTGCATGTAAGAGACAGTGTATATCTGTAAAAGAAAATCGGTACCTACGATTACTGCATTTCCGATTCTTTGCCATTATTTGCAGATTACGCACCCCAACCTTATCCAATCCCATCTGTTTGCGTCAGATGCGTTGCGTAAGTATGGAAACAACATGTTGGAAAAACGATCAATTTGGAATATTCGTCATATTTATTGTATACAATTAAAATCAAAATATTTGATTCGACATTATCACAAACAAACAACACAAAGATAATTACTATAGTTAAAATTGTTTCTTTTGACTAAGCTAATAATTTGAATGAGTGTGTCTAATCAAAGATAATCTGATAGTGTTATATCGCCAGCTTTGAGTACAAGTACACTTCAGAATAATACAGTACTACACATACACATGTATATACCCGGATGTAAGATAGGGTGCAGAGATACACTTAAATATGTACAATCTATTGTTTTCTTATATTTTACGATCTCACAAATATGATAAAAAAGTCCAACGTGTGATTGTAACCATTCATGACCACACATAGCCATATATGGGTGTTTCAAAGGGAATATTTATAGATAACGTACTCAGAAGATTTCCACATGTAAATCAATAAAAGGAGTGACCTTACACACGGGTAGATTGTAGTTTAAATAGTTGTGTATCTGTGTCTCGGAAAATGTGTTAACCCTAACCCTAACCCTAAATGATAACCAGATACCACACCTTTCAGAACCTCCATATAAATGAAATATAGAGCTATGTTTGATATGCTGATTCTATAGTACGGTAGTCAAGTGGTAGGACGCCGGGCTCGTGTCCGGGTTGCGGGTTCGAGTCACGGCACGGCACGGCACGGCACTGTGTTGCATATTAGAGCAAGATACTTTACTCCGCTTGTTCCAGTCTATTTAGCTGTAAATAAGAACGTGGTTTGACAGTGCTAGAATTGTAGACGCTAGCTGTAAGCGCCGAAATGGCAGCACCGGCTGTATGATCCCCATGGAGTTGAGAAAGATATTGGCTGGTTGCAAAAGCCCTATAACCACCGATAATAATTTGTGAACCGCTTTGAGACGAACTAGATTTTGATAAAGCGGTATAACAGAACCTCGAATTATACTAAATAGTATCAAAAAGTTATTGTCTTCTCAAAACAAAAACCTTAGCGAAAACTCTACATGAAAACGTACATATAAATGTCAAATGCTTGTCAAGAAATGAATAGTATATTAGACTTCGTGGTTGTAACATGAAATGAGATTCTCAATCTGCCTCCGATGTAATCAATGTCGCTGTTTGTACCGATAGATATACCTGGATATCCGTGTCCGACAACAACTCAAGGGGCGACTGTACTTCCGGATGATTGCGCCAACACTTCAGTCCCTTTTGGTGATCGGTGCTCTCTACGTCTGTTTGTCACGTATCCAGGACAACAAACACCATCCCACGGATGTCCTAGGTGGCGCTGTCCTCGGTCTTGTCATCTGCCTAATAACGGTATTTTAATAATCTAAGTTTTAATGACTGCTTATTGTTATTAAAATAGAATACACCTTCGTTTGTGTATTGGAAGTCACGCAGACTTCAGTAATTGTTATACATGTATGTGAGGAGAAAACATAAGACATCGAATTTGTTATTCTATAATGCCCTGCAGGTTAACAAAACGAGCACGAATATTTTCAGCACACAGCACATATGAATTACAGGTCATTTATTATCTATAGAATACTAAGCTACCTAAATTGACGGGTTATGTGATTAATTTATTTTAGATTTTCGTCTGGTCGAGCGAAGCAATGTTGGATATTACAGCCGAAATACCTGAAGAAGTACCAGTAATACACGCGAAGTCTTTCAGGACAAGCCCAAATAACGTGAACGGGTTACAGAATCCTATTATACAATCGAGCTTTTCAATCGACATTGCCGGACAAGAAAACCAGACTTTCGATGTTCCCTCTTCCCCGCTGTAGCTTTAATAGGAGCGATACCACGGACATCTGGATTATTCCGTGATACTATATGTGATACTTTCCAGGAACACCTTTGTCAGTGCATGCTGTTGAGATTAACAGTGCTAATAAAAAATATTTGAATAAAGATATTATTTCTGATAGTGAATCTGTTTCAATTTCAAAACAGAAGGTGACCGAAGAGCAAGTATTATTCTATGTCGACTTCGAAACTCTTGCAGTAATTTAAATTATGATTTACACCATGACCATCTTACTAATAGTCCTGCTTGTACCTGCTCTGCTGAACATGAAACAGTATCTCATTATTTTTGGAATGTCCTATTTTTGATAATCAAAGAACAACTTTGTTCACTTCTCTTAATAGTTATGGAAACCACAACCACATTGATAAAAACATTCTTCTCCAGGGCTGTCCTGATTGTGATGGGCTTACAAATAGAAGAATACTTGATGATGTGCATATTTTTATTGGAAAATCCCGTCGTTTTAATTTTTATATGACTTAAAGCCATGATGTTAAACAAAAATATACTATATATTCTATATTTCATCCAGGAGATTCTAGTTGAGCATGACTACTGTCTATTACGTGTACTTATCATGACATTGTAAATAATTACACTCTATATGTATTAAATGAATTTATTATTTTTAATTGTAACAGTTGTTGGTAGCAGTGACCTGTGCAATATATGCACATGGACTTTTGGTCTAAGCCTGCCAATATCTGTCTATGAAAGTGTATATATATGCTGAAATAAATGTATTTGTACATGTACTTGTATGTGTGTGTAAGTGTGTATGGGGTGTGTGAGATGTTTCCTTCATGAGTTACTTCCCCTTAGCCTTGTGTTAATATGAATTATTTTGTGTAATTTTTTTCATTTGCAACATGTCTAAAATATTATGTCTCCTTGTTTATTCCACTTTGGCCATTTGACGGAGAGAATTTATATAGGCTTTGCCTGTTATTCAATCCAATTGATTACGACATCTTGTCAATAAAATTTGATGAAATGAAAAATGAAACAGTGCTAATATCTCTAGTTAACATAAACAGATATTTTTATAGCAGACATGAGTTTACCCAATATTCAACTAATTTGTTCACATCATGTAGACCATCCCTCGAGCAGGCTGTTTTATATTTCGTGCATATGTAACGCACCAAAGTTTTGGGGCGTTGCGTTCCGTCTAATTCACCGACCTGCGGGAATCCTTAAAATTATACCGGCCGCTACCGGAAATAATCAACGGGGCTTCTGGGATAGAGCACTCTTGTTCCCGACTTCAGCCAGGTAAGCAGCACTTTTTCAGCTGTCTAAATCCAATGATTTAATTAGTCTATGTCGCCCATCCTTCCAGAATCCGGGGTTGTAAA